TAATTTTCAGAGATCCTGCTTAAGACTTTTATTCTAATGAGAAGATAGATAAAATTTATTTGACATGAATAGTTCATCTTAATCCTCTTCAGGGAGCACTTCTACTATCTTGCACATGTGTACTTAGAGTTAATATTTCTATTCTATTTAAAATATGTACTTTTTTTCTGACTTAAGCCTTAAATTTTTAGCAAACATGCTTCATCCCAAATTTTCCATGACTGTATTTCATTAAGTGAGGTCTAACATGGAATAGTTATTCCCTTTTACATTACTGTAGAAGAATAAAACATTCTTTTTTTTATCTACAAAATTATTTAAAAAATCCAGGATGCACTCTCCTTGCACTAAGGGTGACTACCCAGACTATGTTTTATTTTATAAGTTTTATTTTCCATGGAATTTGTTGCTAAATCAAAGTAACTCTGGAAGATAATTGGTACTAAAATAGAAAAATGTTACATAATTTATATTTTATTTTACTATTTTGAGGACTTTTGCACTGTCTGAAATGTACATTATGATTAGTTCATAATTATTTGATAGAAAAATAAACATAAAATATGTTTATTTAAATGGGCAAAATTAAACACTGAGGGAGTTTAGTGTTTAGAACACATCTCTGAGTACAGATTAAACAACCAGAGTAAATCACCAGTGTAAATAACAGGAGTAAATAATGAGAATGTAGGAATGAAATATTCAAAGTTTGTCTAGAATAGTGAAAGGTTAGCAAAACCCATCCCAAACTCTAACTACTGAAGGATTAACACATGGAAAAGAGGAGTTGAGATGTGTTCTCTGATTGCAGTCAGTCTCTGCAAAGTTTTTCTTAGGCTTTTTCCAGTCTTCGCTTCATCCACTTTTTCACAGCCTTAATTGTTGCTATTTATAAACAGCCTGTAGATGCACCTACCTAACTTTTGTCAAACCTTCCAATCCTGCCTTTGAATGTCTACACAACTAAATGAAGTCCCACATTGCCAAACCCAGAGTCCATGCTGGAATTTCATTCTGCTTCATCACCTATAAAGGGATATGGTGTGACTTGCCAGAATATTGAAGACCATGCTTCAGGTGTGTGCTAGTATAGAGTGAATGACAGCACCTCCTTTTTAACTCCATGGTATCAACCATTTTCTTCTCATTTAAGGAAAAGGTATTAACATTTTTCCAAAAAAAATATTTCGGAATATATACCTAGAATGTGATTTGGGGAAAGGGTGGTATCATGTCTAGAGAACTGTGCAAAACACATAATATATGAAGACTTCTAATTTTTGAGTAGTTATTGAATGGTTTGCTTGGATAGATGAAAGAGACCACGATACAAAGTGGATGATGATGTATTATAATGTCCAGGGAAAACGACTCATCTCAGCCTTCTACAACTGCATCTCTCCATAAGTAGTCTGGAATTAATGAAACTGGATGACAGCTGCATCTTGGAACTGCAAAGGTAAGCCTTCTAAATGAAGCAACAAATTTTTAAAATTGACAGCAGCACTCCAATTCAATTTTAGTAAAATTTGAAAGGTTAAAAAAATACTGAAGTCATACAAGCTCAGAGTTACACCCTGAAGAGTACTTCACATTCAATTCATTTGGCGTAAAACACTGTAGTCCCAGTTGCAGGAGAGATTTTAAAGGATTTTTCTTTTCCATCAATCAAATACAGGGAATAGACAAGGCCCTGACTGCAGACTCTCACTGAAGAATGACAATGTCCAGCAGCAACCAGATTCTAAACCCTCAGATACTGCAATCTGAAGGCATTATTCAAACTGCCCGTTAGTCTTCCTTGGAGCAACAAGAGTCCTGCCTCAGAAACAGCCCATCCCTGGTCTTCCACAAAGACTCCTCTGAATGTACTCCTTCTCCAAAAGACTTTAATCTACTCCAGCTCTCCCTATGAAACCAGAGGCCTAGACACACAAAAAACAATCACTTGCACACTACAAATCCCAATTTCTTTTCTTATTTACTGTTTTCTATTTGTTGTGTTTTTTTTTTTTTTTTGTTCTTGTATCATCTTATATAATTTTTAAAATGTATTTAATGTTTTTCCTTCTTGTTTTAGTTTTATTCTTGGTATTTGCAGTGGTTCTTACTAAATCCTCAATTTTACTTTTTACCTTTTACTGTCCTGTAGTGCTGCTTTGGCTTATATATGTTTCTGGTCAGTATGATCAGTCTTTCTCCCTCATCGTTTGTGGATCCATCTCTCCTCATTAGAACTTGCTCCCTGTATCTATCTATGCTCACTCTTTGCTCAACATAGTTTTTTGCTCCCTTCTCTTATGACTATGGTCTGACTTCGTATTTTTTTTAAAAAATATTTTATTTGATTTTACTTTACAGCATGTATGTTTTTTACTGTGTGCTGCTACAGCATGTTTTCGCATTCACTGCAAAAACATGAAGAAGGATAAAAGACTACTAAAGTAAACTACTTCTATTGATAGCATCTTCTAGAAATGTTATGATTTGCTTCTTTCATCCTTCTCGTTCTGTTGCTGGCTTGAATCAGCCTGGACAAACTTGAAACTAAATTACAATAAAGCACCAAACAAGTTTCATGATATTCTACTTACATAATTATTCCAAATAAACCTGCTGTACTTATTTCTGGCTACGTGACTGTAAATGAAGGTAATAATGAAGAAAAAAATTACATCTTCACTCTGTGTTCTTTCACTTTGTCATTTTGCTTTTATTTTGGCTGAAATAAACAGAAGTATAATGAATCTTCAGCAGAGATATCTAAAGAGAAATTAGCAAAAACCAAAACTTTATTGGAAAGAGATTAGTAGAATTTGTATATTATGACTTCAAATGGTAACAGGGGGCAGGGAGGCCTCCTTTACTCAGGCACTTTAAAACTGACTCTGTTGAGCAGCTTAGAACAGCAAAAAACAAGAGGGTGCAATGTAAAGACAGCGGTATTCCCAAAAGTCCGTATCAGTCTTCGTGAACTAAAGGTAATACACATTCTCATATTTTTAAGAGAGCCAAGATGCAACTAAACTGATTTTGACATCAAAGGTTTGGACATAGGATCTCAAAATGCAGAGAATTAGTGCAGTGTATTTTCAGCATATTTGACCTAAACCTCCTTTCTTCTCATTTCTTGTACACTCATTTGTCCAGAGCCTTGCAAGCAAGAGACATTACTTGGCAGAAAAATTCAATTTCTGTCATTCTGATTGATAACTACCTAATGATGAAGACTTCCAAGCTGTTATTTTCACTTCTTTAGAAAATAAAGGTTTCCCTTTGCTCAGTGACTGAGATTTTAAAGCAATCTACTAGTCACATTTTTTAAGTGGAAAAAAAAGATGTCAGACAAATGATACTGCTAAGCTTGCTCCAGACAGTTTGCTACCGTACCATGAAAATAAATTCAAGCAAATCTGGAAAGAAAAAAACTTTCTTGAATAGGTTCTTAAGCACTATTTAATCAGAAATACTCCAAGCAAGAACAGAGATTTCCTGGGATGTGGTATGTGTACCTGTGCAGCCAGGTAATCTAGGAAAAATGAAATGATCCTTTGGAGTGATGTGTCTCCTGTGCACCAAACTGGAAGAAAGAACTGCACACACAGGTATAGATGATGAAACTTGCCAACTATGTCCATCTTGTTTGTGTCAAACTTTACAGTCAATTTAGTAATAATATAAGGAGAAGGAAAATCAAATTCCAATATTAAAAGCAGAACTAAACATTTCTAATTTTGTCCTTCAGAAGAACTAGGTAAGGCATGTAATACAAGACAGCATGGATGTAATCTATGGAAAGTCATTCTTCCACAATACAACTTGTAATCAAAAGTAATATTTCTGTATTACCATGATAACATTATTGCCTACAGTATATTTATTTTTATTAAGATGTCCTCTCCTTTACCTTATGGAGTTAAAAAATGCATATTTCCCCAGAGGGGAAAAGAAAACAAACCAGGGCAGCCCTTTTTGCTGCTTTAGCAGAACATGAATCCAATCCTAAAACTCTTTAGTTTATACTAATTAAGAGGTTTTTTTTCACCATATCTACTGGGACACCTAAAATAATCATATTGGTTTAGAAAGTGGCTGAGAACGGGCGGATTGAAATCAAAGGAAGGGAATTACACAACTAATATTTTACACAACTAATATTTTAGTTGTGCAAGCCTTAGATGCTAAAAGAAAGGTGCAAAATTACAACAGCATTAGAAAGAGAGTTTAAACCCACTCCTAGGCTGGGTTGGCAGCTGGGACTAGTACTCCACAGGTGTCCTTTGTTGGCTAGTTCCAAAAACCAACCTGAAATTGCTTTATATTTCTTCTGCAAATATTGAACTTTTAAGGAAACACAAGCAGAAAATACATTTTTGCTGATACATACAAAGTTCTCACAAGGTACAGTCATTTTCCTTGGGGAAGAAATAGATGTTAAAACCTACATAAATGTTAACTGAAGATATATATAATATCAATATATGTTATAGAAACAAATTTAAATATGGATATGCTTGTATATATACAAACACCCACTCCTCCAGGTATATAATTTTCAAAAAATTATCCTCAAAATATAAGTTTTGATGAAAAAAGCTAAGTTGAAAATAGGCTGTTTAGCAATAGAAGTTTCTGAAGTGCACAAACCTAGATGCTCTTGAAATTCTTTACATAACACAGAGAAAAATGGAATGTGGAAGTCTGACTAGACTTCTCAAAGTCTGAATGAATATTAAGGGCCAAATTATTACCTTTTCTACCCAGCTGCTAATGTTTTACCTCAAGTCAAACATTACACGTTTTCCTCCAAAAAAAATTTTAAGCAAGCAAGCAATGCCAGAGATCAGGAGCCTGTTCCTTACAGACGAACAACTTTAAAGCACGCACATAACTGATACAACATATAGCCAACATTATGGATGGAAAAAAACCAGCATACTAGCATTTTTACATACAGCTTGAAATAAAAGGTAGAAGCCACTGTATTTTTGCATACTCACTGGTTTTGCACTGACAAATGCGACAACCATTTTGGTCCAGCTTGAAGCTATAGATGCAGTCTTTTTCAGTCAAAGTGCAGTTCACCAAAGCCTCACAGGTGGGCGGACCTATTGTGATATAAGTTGGTTCTGGGGGTAAGAAAAAAAATAAATAAATTTGAGATTCCTTGAATATTTTAATTAAGTTCACAAAAATCCATACACAGTGCAGTAATCAATAGTTTTAATTATTTTTGTTTCTGATGAATAGTCTTGGTACTTCTGAACAATAAAAGAAACAGACTTTGTTTTGAAGTGATGTACACTCAAAGAGTATAAGGCTGCAGAAAATTTATGAAGTATTAAAACTGGAAAAAGATTCTACCTTTTTTTTTTCTCACTATGAAATCCGCTTTACTGCATATGCAATTTGAAACTGAGTGTGAAATATTTATTTGCCCACTTTTCTCCAAAAGAAGTATTTCATCAAAACTTCATGCAGCTTTTTTTGCTTTAGAAACCGAAAAGAGCTTCCTCTGAAGCTCAGTTGATTGATACTACCAAGCTTTACATCAAAGCACATGACTCAGTAGTCAAATTGTTCTCTGTGTGAATAAAATCACTTCTAATGAAATTTATAACAGAAGAGACTCTGAATACTAAAAGGGAATGTAAGATTCACTGCATGTGAAAGATCTCTGGAAACCATTCAACATGTCTATTCATCGAAAACATCACTTCTTATAGTATACTTTGTACGACCAGATCATGCTTTTCAAGTTGAGGATATTATTGCCAATTAGAAGTTACTTATAAACAGCACAATACTTATTTTTTGACACCATTTAAATATGTTGGAGTATGCAATTTGTTTTGATACACTGGGCAGCCAGATATATTAATGTGTTCTAGTATACAAAGTTGTTAGAATAAAACAAAGTCCAAAGACTTACGTAAAGAACAAGGAAATTTCAAAACTACTATCATAAAACAGGATACAGAAGGAAAGAAACATCTATCTTTTCCAAATGAATTTTTACTCTGTCTGACTAATTTTGTCTACCTTGTATTTTTCATAGAACTTAACACTGAAGAACCAATGAATTTAAAATTATGAGCATTATTAACATTATAAAAAGCATTCTGGAAATAAAAATGCCAAGACTTTTAAAGAACTTTAATTTCAGAGTTTCAATTGTTTGAGTGTATCCTGTCTCCTCAAGAAATGGAGACTTACAGGAAATTAATTTAAAAATAATTCAACGTATGTATTAATAAATTGTGAAAATTATATGGACTGGAGGTGGCCACATCTTGCCATCTCTCATCCTCAAACCACAGATTTTGCTATTTTTACTTATAGGCAGATGGTCTTTACTGCCACAATAAGAGTAAAATATTACTCAGCATTGATTGTTAGATGTTTACACTGATAACCAAAATACTAATTTCCGTGCCTATTAGTTCCATGTCCAGCAGGCAGATTTTGCACCCAAGCCTTCCAGTCAAGTGAAAATTATCCTATTACAAGAATGAGCTTTTCTGCTTTCATTGTCTTTCACAGTTTTCAGCTTTCGTAGCTTCTCCCCAGCTCTGCTCTGCAACAAGGACAATTTTTACAGCTGATGAACATTTTTACTCATTTTAAAGTTAAGATCAGCTAACTAGAGTTCAGAGGGAAAAAACTGCATTAAAGACACTACAGCTAGGTTAAAGAACTTCAAACTTATCTTAGAGGTCATGGTTCAGATTACTCACTTTGCTGAAAGTTTCAAAGTAACATTCAAATTCTGCTGTTTGTATAATTTTTAGTAGGAAAGTAGCAATACATTTTATAAACATATAAACCAGTACCAACGGCTTTGCTCATATACAAGGTGAAAATCTGTATAATGGTATCCATGTCTCCCTAGACCCCTCAAACTTCTGGTTTAAATTAAAATTTTTCATATTTTTTGTAAGGGTTTAATATAAATTACTAGGTTGGAGGTCAAAGGATGGGTTACTGCAAATTCTGCATTTCACAGCTCTGAGTTTGCACATGTAGTGCAGAAGAGTAACCATAATGAGCAATGTATTTTAAAATCCATGGATTTCCAAACTAGATTTCTTTTAAGCTCAGTGTAAGAACTTTTTGTTTTTGTTTCCAAGTACATTCAGCAAACTATCTGACTAAATCATATTCATGTCTAATACTTAACATTTGCAACTTTAACAAACCATTACTTTAGGAATAAAGAACATATTGCTATACACCAATAACATTTTACATTCCAGAAACTCCATTAATTAATCCCACCTGTTTAAGACTCTGAGTATATAAACTAGTTTTGCAACCAAACTGATTTTTAGCATCTGGTGACTGTTCTGAAAACCTCCTTTCCTACCTCACTCCATTCTCTAACCAAAATTTCCTAAACATGCAAAAGACTGGAATGCAAGAGTTACCCTGAAGCTACATTCACGTTCCTCGTCAGCCAGCCCGAACAAGCCCAAACCCTACAGGTCAAGTGACAGAAAAGCCACAGCAATGTTTATATTCACAGGTAGTTAAAACTACTACAAATCATATGAATCGTTAATGCTACACAAAGGGAAGTTCACAGGCAGTAACACAAGCTGGAGGACTGAAGGAGACTATAGCTTTAGCATAGGAATGCAGAATGTGTGGCAAAACTTGCAGTTAAAGAAACCGCCACAAAACCTTATTGAAAGTTGAGATGCAAGTTAATTAGTATTCATTGATCCACTTAGGTGTAAACTAATCCTAGAGAGATTTAGGATTGTGTTTTACTCCCTGTTACTTAAGTCCACCCCTGAAGATAACCTCCCTTTAATTGCAGATATAATTTAATATCTCAGAAAAAGAGTAGGTATAATATATATAATGTTATACAATTTCTGTGGTGACTTTCCAAAACTATACCTCTGTGTTTTATGCCTTGGGCACACCTAACAGTTATTTGTGTGCTTGATACACCCTGTAATGTGGTATTTCTTTCAAGAGATGAAATTGAACTGTTTTATATTCATTTGAAAGGATTTTGTTAGTCTCCTATCAATTGCGTTTTATTATTCTGTTACCTTCCACTTTTTGGCCTGCTTTCAGCATCCTCAGCATTTCCAGAGAAGCTACAAATCTGTTTTTGACCCCTCCTCTCCCTAAAGGTAAGCCCTGAGATACAGTAATTTTATATGCATGCCTGCTTCTCAATGAGCTGCAAGTAGAGGACAAAAGAAATAATTTCAGTCCCTGCCCCCACATGTGCAAAAATGCAGCCAGGGGGAAAAAAAAAAAAAATCAGCCCTTTTCACTTCACTAGACAAGACTCAACAAATAAAGCCAGCTCTGCTATGCCAGACTTCTGGCTATTTGAATAGGCAAGCAGTAGCTAAGCTTGAAAAAGCATGTACCACTGCATGAGCTGAACTGGGCTTTCACTGCTGCTCTTGGTAGAAACGGTAGAAGAAAGATCCAGTGCACAAATGCACACACAATGGGTGGGAAAAACGGGTGCTGTTTCTGCCTGTGTGCTTTACCGATGATACAACTATACCATAGAGAGAAAGAAAGAAGAAAACAGAGAGAAGGGGATTGAAGAGAGTCTGGATGAAAACAATGGATTATTTAATGGAGCACAGATTTTGCTGATGTCAAGTACTTACATATAAGGTTAAATGAAGAATTAGAACATCTTGCTTCCATTTATCTCTGAACCTGATACTTTCTATGCTGAATTTTAGTACAGAAGATTATTAATTTGCCTGCTGTGAGGTTGGTAAAATTATCTGAATTAATTTTTTACCCTGCTATTTACTTAAAAACAACTTCAACAGTTTTGAATTCCACAATGGATATTTCAGCCGCTGGTGGTTCATCCGTCTGACTAGTCCACTGAAAAATACTACAGTATGTGATCAAAACCCTGAATCTCATTCATATTAGCTTGAAAAGGGAAAGAAGAGAAATGGGGAAAAGGAATATGGTGACATACACGTAATGGTTGTAGCTGGCTTTGTCCTTAAGGAGACTACATTAGCAATACCAATAAAGAAACTTGTTGTCACCAAAAAAAAAAAAAAAATTGTCAAGGTAGAATATTTTCACTGGTATATTTCTATCCATAATACTTTTGTAATATGAGCAAAATCAATCCTTAGTCCCCTCTTTTTTTGTTTCTGAGACCTCCCACTTTTCCTGAGTGATGTGATACAGCTTGTATTACAAAGAGCAGACATTTTCTTCTATTAAAAATGAGAAGTACTATACATACACACACAGAACACAGGATGGTCCAGTACTGTGCCTTATATATAGTTCTTGTTAACCTTTGATGAGTATTGAGGTTCTAAGCTAATGCTCAACCAAAGTAATCAGGTACGGAGAGAAACTGATGCACTCATGTTTCAGTGAGGTGAGGGGAAAATTTGTTTCTCAGGATTAGAATTTTATTATATACACAGTTTGATCAGTTCAAGTTACCAAAAAGAAGAGACAGAAAACTAAAATACACCATAGATTGCTGAAGCCCTGGAAAAAAATAAAAACAAAGGTAAAAAAATCAGAGATGAATTATTGCTATCTTGTTGACGTCTACTGTTTATCTGAGTGGTTTTTTCTTCTAACTTTGCAGACTTAATTAAAATTAACTAAAGAATTATATAGAAGTGAAATAATAAAAAAAATCCTTCCTAAAGATGGTAGCAGAATGAAAAACTATATCTATCTTCCAAACTTAGTTGTTCAAAATCTGAACTCTGGCCACTAAATGCGTATCAGAAAATGAAGAGGGATTACACTTAACTGCTCTGCTGCAAAGCCACATAATATGGGAGCACAAAGCATTCACTTTTGGTTTGTGTCACTAGATCTGTTTTGAGCAGGAGATAGTACTAGAAAGTCTCTGGTGGTCCTTTCTAACTTGCATGACTCCATGAATTTTACTTTCATATAAACTCAGGATATTTCCAGTGAAAGTAGCAATATCCTTGATAGATCCTAATCAAGGAAATTGAAATCCAAAGACAAACATTTCAATTTCTGATGATTTCTGTATGCTTTTGCCAAGTACTGATCACCTCCCTCCTGCAATATAAGTAAATGTTTGCCTAACACCATCTCTTTGAAATCTACTTCATGACTTAAAAAC